CAGCTATGAAGTGGTATAATCAAAAGTGGACATTTGTTTAAAAGCGCAGATGGAAGAGCGACTTAAAAGAAGAAAAAATTGCTCAAGAAGAATTCAGCAGAAAAAGAAATTAATTATGATTTTCCTCCATTGGTTTTATCCAATAAGACCTTCAGAAAAACCTCCCCAAAATAAAATTATTTAGGCATAACAAAGCAGCAGAAGAAAAGGGTTTCTAAAGGCACTGCTACCACTCCTGAGAAGTCTGCAGATAGTTAGGGCCCTATACCAGTTTGTGCATCAACATTTTTGGAGAAACAAAAATCTGAAGTGGTGGGAATGGAGGATGGTAAAGATGATACAATAGTTTTCAAGCATCCCATGTCTGGTACAGAAGGAGTACAAGGGACTCCAACACTTAAACTGTCATGGAAAAAAAGATGAAGACAAAGAAAAACTTAGTAATGATTCTGAATGTACTTATATATATGCATATATATAAAAACATATATTTTCTGATACAGTGTCATATATATAAAAACATATATTTATAAGGTACAGTGAAATATAACCATTGACAGACTTGAGAGAGAAAACATGCTGGTTGGAAAATAGTCAGTACTTTTGTCTTTCTCCCCTTGTTGAAGAACAGGAGTACAGCAGAGCTTGCAGTGATTGGGCTAACATTGCCTTTGTTCTAGTCTCCCTTAGTTTTCAGTTTTCCTGTCTCTTCTTTATTTTTGCCTGTATTAAAGGGTCACTGTTAACTACACATTTAAGTACCAATCTTCAGCCTTTTTTCCTATTACCACTAATTAAAGACAGTCAATCCTGCTTAAAAAAAAAAAAAAAGAAAAGAAAAAGAAAAAGAAGTTCTAGCTTAAGGAAAGACATGAGAGCTGCATGTGTACCAGAGTGCATACACCCCAAAGACTACTTTTCTGCTACAAGAAAAAAAGTATATATTTTAAATAAACCCAGTTGGAGGTGCTAAAACCTAGGTCACATTTAGGAAGACTGTACTCTATAGTACTGAGCCATGAAAGAACCCAGGAAAGGACCTTGTGCATCAGAGGATAAATGCTGATTGTGACTACCCCTGGGTTTCTGACCACAAGGCACTTAATCTTGCAAAACTGTTACTACGTCTGGGGATATAGCTCAGTTGGTAGAGTGCTTGCCTTGTTTGCACAAAGTTGTGGGTTCAGTACCTAGTACTGCGGGCGCGCGCACACACACACACACACACACAAGACTGTCATTAAAGTCTCACTTTATTTTTGCCCCTGTACCTCCTGTCTTTGATCCTATTCTTTGGGTTTGGATGAGGTGAATGTGTTTCTCAAAATTGTCAGAGTACCCATTTTGATTGGGGTGAGATGGAATCTCAGTGTAGTTTTTGATTGCATTTCCCTGATAGGTAAAGACATTAAGCTTTTTTGGGGATTGAACTCAGGATTATTTGACCACTGAACCACATTCCCAGCCCTGTTTTGTATTTTATTTAGAGACAGTCTCACTGAGTTACTAAGTGCCTCACAGTTGCTGAGGCTGGCTTTGAACTTGCAATTCTCTTGTCTAAGACTCCCAAGCTGCTGGGATTGCAGGTTTGTGCCAACATGCCTGTAAGGTATTAGACATTTTTAAAATATATATTTATTTTTTAGTTATAGATGGACCCAATATCTTTATATTTATGTGGTGCTGAGGATCAAACCTAGTGCCTCACAAATGGTAGGCAAGCACTCTTCCCCTGATCCACAAACCCAGCCCAAGACATCAGACATTTAAAAAATTTATTTATTGGTCATTTTTACCTTCTTTTTGAGAATTGTTCATTGGGATCATTTGTCTGTTAATTGATTTGATTGCTTGTTCTTTTGGTCTTAACATCTTTTGAGTCCTTAATATAACCTGGTTATTAATCCTCTGTCAGACGAGTATCTGGCAAAGATTTTCTCCCATCCTATAGGCTGTTTTCACTCTTCTGATTGATCACTTTGTTGTTGTTGTTGTTGATCTGAAGCCATTTATTTTGGGATAATCCCAGTTTATCAATTGTTTTTATTTTCTGGAAATTATTACCTATACCAGTATCTTGAAGGGTTTCCCTATGTTTTTCCTCTAGTAGTTTCAGGTCTTCCTAAGATATTTGATCCATTTTGTGTTCATTTTTTTGTAAAGGGTGAGAGAGGAATCCTTAGTGATTCACTTTAATAAGCTCTTTCTTTTTGCAAAAACTGGTGCCATGATATTGATCAGGATCACTCAGCTCAAACCTGCTCTTTAAATCCATTTGTAGCATAGAATTTGTAGGAAGGAGTGGGCAGAATCTGCTTTTGACTGGATGATAAGAGGTCGAAATTTTAGCATTTTTTTTTAAAAGGGTATCTTACCTATTGAAAGATTACCTTTTTTTCAGTGGAGAATTACCATGTTCTGCACAGAGGAATTTGACCTGTGATGTCAAATGATTATTAATCAGACAAGCTAGCTTCTTTTGTGCATGTGCATTCTGGAAAGGTTGTTTCAGACTGTTCGTGAGTGGATTATAGAGGCTTTTCCTGAAACAATACTTAAAACATTTTATAGTATATGTATGTGTGTATCTAGTTCTTAGCCAGTTTGAGATCTGTGGTCTGCAAATATTTTCCCCTATCTTGAAGGTTTGATAATAAGTCTTTTGATAGTGTCCTTTCATGCACAGAAGCTTTGAGTCCTTTAGATGCCCCCCACCCCCGTTTATTGTTTTTTTTTTTCTTTAGTTGCCTTTACCATTGATGTCATATCCAAAAAAAATCATTGCCAAATCCAAAGCCTCAAAGATTTTCTTCTAAAGGTTTTATCCCTTTCAGTAATGTTTTTGAAATATTTTGGGTTAACTTTTGCATAAAGTGTAATATAAGGATCCAAATTAATTCTTTTGATGTGGATATTTGGTTTCCCAAACATCACTTACTGAAAAATTCTACTTAAATATTATGAATGCACATTACAGTTCTCTTTATAGCACCTAATTATCTTAATATCAATTTTGCTTTTACTGGAGTTGATCAAATCACGGCTCTGGGGTTCCAACTAACCTTGAGCAGCTATATAAATCAAAGGCCAATTAAAGAGATGAATGGTATGCAAGGCTGGAGTTTCTTCTCGATGTGGCTACACAGGAAAGAATAAAGAATTCTGTTTTGCAGATGCTAACACTAGTCATGGGGTTACATGGGAAAGCAGCAAAGGCAAGGATTGGAGGGCTGCTATCAATCTGCAGGCCAGGAACTGATTGATCATTATCTCAGAGTCTGTCAAGTGGAGCCTTGTTGGTGATAAAAAAATAAAAGTGGCTGCTGTCTGGAAATATTTTAGGTATAGTCATAAGAGGTTTATCCACCAGACCTGTCATCCCTGAGATCCAAGGTGACTGCAAGAGAGAATGACTTAGAAGAACAATGAGTCAGAAAATTCAGATGAAATTAGGTCAAGGATTGAGTAGCTTTCAGGTTTAGGTCAATGAGTAGAGACTTAGAAGCTACTCCAGTAGTTAGTAGCAGGACCTTTGGAAGAGCTGGCAGTTGATAATACGTAGATTATGAAAGTTAATTCCATCCTGACATTTTCAACCTTGAAGGAGGAGAAGACAGACTCAATTTGGGGATGATAGGAACACTTCTGACACAGTGAACATGTCTAAGTGCAGTCCCTAGCAGAAACCTGTCCCAGAGTTTAAAGTGCTAAAGGACTTTAAAGAGCCATGTGAAGAGAGATGTCAGGTATACATCCTGCTTTCAGTTATCCATCATACCTGTGCAGGTCCAGGTGAAGAGTTGGTGCTTGTAGCAAAAGCAGCTTCCCTCTCTTCCCTCTTTATAACGTTTATTCACAATTTTTTTTTGTTATATTGAGCAGCAAATGTTAGTTTTTGAGAATTCTAAATGATTAATATAGAAATGTTCTTAATAATTCTACTTTGATTTTTTTATTGAAACAGTTCTTAAACTTTTTAACAAAGAAACTGGTATTGGGAGTATGTGTATTACTATCTTTTAAAATATTTAATATTAGATGTCTAGCAAAATTAAGAATATTTGCTTTATAAATAGAACTTTTGTGGTTTCATATAAAATAGCTTGTCCTGTTTTAACGGCATCCTAGTTTATAATTTTAATTCTAAAAATTAGTGGAGACTCTGATACTTGAACATTTATGGGAAGTTTTGAAGAACATTTCAAAAAGTTCTCAACTGGCATTTAAATTAAAATTAGTTCAGGTGTTCTTCTGAAAAATTTATAGAATATAAGTATGCCAATTGTTAATTTTTGTTTTCAATCATAACTTAATGTTTTTTAATGTTTTGGTGTCTTAATGTTTTCTTGTGTTTTTAGAACTCGTTTTATAGATAGTTATCAATGTATACATTCAGAATTTAATAATTTTAATGTTTTTATTCATATAATTTATAAATATTTTGAAAAAAACTACATTTCATATATGAATTTGAACATGGATTAAACACACATACATGCACACACACAGGGTTACAGGTTTGAAATGTCTTAGAGTTTAGTGACATTGAAGAATCAGTACAAGCAGACATGTTTTATTCATGTAAATTCTCATTTCATTATTATCTAATTTGGTTCATAAAGTTTATATCTTATTTTAATATAAGCTTTGATACTCTAGAAAATACCACTGTACCTCTAAACTTTAAAAAATGATTTGGTATCTGTGTCCATTTAAACACTTTATAATTTAATGTTTTATTTACTTGATGATTCAAACATTTTTTTATATTACTAAACATTTAGTTGATGTTAACTCTTATTCTTCATTTGTTACTATCTTGTGAAAATAACTGGTGACAGTTCAGATATAAGTTAATGATAATGATTTTATTTGACTGAGTAGTATATTTTGTTTGTAGCCTTTATTCTGTCATTAGACCTTAGAAGGCTAAAGTAGAAAAAAATTATTTTAAATAACTCTAAATTTAAGCATTAATTTTTTCACTTTCCTCTTTGTAGCATTTTCAGTTGGCTTTGATTGACTGTAATCCCTGTACTTTATCCAATGCAGAAAGTAAGTATTTTTTAAGTACAATATTGTTTTTGACTTTAGAGCAAGAGCATTTCAAATTATGACCATGAGTATATGTTTATGTTTACTATATCTTTGTTTCTATTGCTAATTGAGAGGAGGAATGGGAAGACATGTGCCTGATTCAGAGACATGTTCAGTTCATTTGGGTACTACTCTTTTTTCTTTCTTTTTTGGGGGGCGTGGGGATCAGGGATTGAACTCATGAGCACTCAGCCACTGAGCCATATCCCCAGCTTGAGATTACAGACTTGTGCCACCATGCCTTCTCTCTCTCTCTCTCTCTCTCTCTCTCTCTCTCCTTACAAAAATCAATGTGCCCTTTAAAAAAAAAAGACAGAAAGAAAATCAATGTGATCATTTGGTAACTCTAGAAAAGCCTGGTTTCTCACTGATCACTAATAGAGAGTGATTGCCAGCTTGATAATCATTATTATCAGATATTCCTTGTGTCCATTTTAAAATAAAAGCATAAATTCTCCCCCTTTGTACATTCCTTGTATTTTGACTGTGTTAGAGACTCTGTTACAAATCACAAGTTTTCAAAGCAAAAAATAAGGTAACGTGACACTTAATGTATGATTGTCTATAAGACACTTAACAGTGGTTAAGTGTCCCTGGATTCAATACCTGGTTTAAATAAAAATAAAACATATATGAATGTATTAAAAAATGGAGATTTTTACCTTTTAAAGTGACACTGTGTCTTATGAAATGTGAGGTCAGAGTCTTGGGCCCTGAGACTAAATCTAGATTGGTTTCTGATGGTATAAAGATGCCAATCATCACTGTTCTTTTCCTTCCTTATAATCTTCAACAGATTATACAAGTATAGGGAAAATGGGGGCCTAAATTTTTATCTTTGCCTTTTTCATAATTTATAATCCATGTACCTCCAATAATGAAATAAGGTAAAATTTCTATTAATTGGACTTGATAATAGTAAGGAAAGCTGAGTGGGAAAAATAACTAACGAGGAAGAAAATCTCTCAAACTACGAGGTAAAGGGGTATTATTCTTGTGCCTGTGTGTGTATGGCATATTATTTTGTGATATATTTTATTCAATAAATAGTATTTATTTTATGTGGCAACTATTTAACTTTGCTATTTACCTATAAAGCCATATGTTGTCCTACAAAGTTGGTTGAATTTAGAAATGTAATTAATTATGAAAGAATTTTCTCTTGTATGGAAAGAAATCTGTAGTTTTACATTTGCTTGTGTTTTGAATTATGTATTATGTCATTGTTACTTTGGCTCTACCTTATTACTTGAAATGTAGCTGTATTGAAATTGATCTTTTTCCATGATCCATTACAGTTCAGTTTCATATTGCCCACTTGTATGAAACCCAGGTAAGCATTTTAATTTACCTTTCTTAAAAACAGACTTCTCCACCTATGCTTTCAGTGAAATATAATATGCCAGGAAAAAAATTTTTGCTTTAAACAAAATGAATGTATCATATGATTTTATTTAGGTATTTTACTCTTACATATATTTTTAGTGCTTTATCCTTATTAATTATGTTTGAAATTTTGTTTACTGATACAATTATTTAAGGCAAATAAAAGATTTTGGGACTTATTCAGTATATTTGTAATATTTGTGGTAACTGTCATAAACTTTTAATTCATTTTCTAAATATAATAATTGATATATGGTTAATACTGATATTTAATATGATTTACATCTATGGCTATGCCATAAGAAGGTGTCTCCTGTTTTTATGTGTGATGTTTAGATTTCTTTTCAAAATATTTATGGATGGCTAGAACCACGGATTATTGTAGAAGTTTCTTCAGTACTTTTCTCTAAGACTGTGAAGTCTCTTAATTATCTTAGCATTTGAAATGTCCAGTAGTGTTACACTTCTTTAAGATTGTTTTGTTTTCAGAAAATTTTAGTTAAGAGTCTCAGGTGAGGGCTGGGATTGTGACTCAGTGGTAGAGCGCTCGCCTAGATTGGGCAGGACCCATGTTCGATCCTCAGTACCACAAAAAATAAAGGCATTGTGTTGTGTCCATCTACACCAAAAAAATAAATATTTATTTTTTTTCTTTTAAAAAGAGTCTCAGGTGAGTTTTGTTACCACAGAAACATACAAATTTATAGTTTGTAGTGGAAAATAGGAAAGAAATTGGTTATAACCTAAAGTAACAGTGTTTATTGATAATATATGAGTACCTAAACATTTTCTTAGGTTTGATAGGATTAAAATCATGAATACTCAATCAGAATAGCATCTGTAGCTCTTTTTATAGTGTTATACATTCTGTTATTAACATGGGGGTTTCATTGATTTTTAAAATAAATGTAAATACTCCATAAATTATCAAGTAAAAATAATATTGGTAAGAGAAATAAACACAAAGGGGAGAGGGGAGAGACTGGGTTGAGCAATATAGTTACAGTATTTAGGTATGTCCCTACTACTATTAGTTTTTCTAGTGTTTTGAATGTGAAGGTGTACTTTTTCTGTATCTAATCATATGATTCTTGTTTTTAAGTCTATTAATATGATAAATTACGTTTATTGATTCTCGTATGTTTAGCCAACCCTGCATCCCTGGGATGAATCCCACTTGATCGTAGTGCACTATCTTTCTAATATGTTTTTGTGTGCGATTTACCAGAATTATATTGAGAATTTTTGCATCTATGTTCATCAGGGATATTGGTCTATACATTTTCTTTCCTTGATGTGTCTTTGTCTGGTGGTGTTATCAGGGTGATATTAGCCTCATAGAATGAGTTTGGAAGGGTTCTCTCCTTTTCTGTTTCATGGAATACTTTAAGGAGTAATGGTGTTAATTCTTTGAAAGTCTTTTAGAACTTGGCTGAGAATCCATCTGGTCCTGGGCTTTTCTTTCTTGGTAGGCTTTTGAGGGTGTTTTCTATTTCATTACTTGAAATTGATCTGTTTAAATCATGTTTGACCTTCTCATTCAGATTGGATAGGTCATATGTCTCTAGAAATTTGTTGAAGTCTTTGATATTTTCAATTTTATTGGAATAAAAAGCAATAATAAAATTTGTTTGGAAAATAAGAGATCCACAATAGCTAAAGCAATCCTGAGCAAGAAAAATAAAGCAGGAGGCATCACAATCCTAGACCTTAAACTATACTACAGAGCTAAAGTAACAAAAACAGAAAAGTATTGGCACCAAAGTAGACCAAGAGTACAGAAAAGAGTATGCAGAGACAAACGCACATAAATATGGTTATGTCATATAAGCCATAAACATTCACAGGAGAACTGCTAGCCTATTCAACAAATGGTGCTAGCAAAACTGGAAATCCATATGTAGCAAAATGAAAGCAAACTGCTGTTTCTGTTTTTCTCACCCTGAATAAAAACCAACCCAAAGTGGATCAAAGACTTAGGCACTGGAACAGAGACCCTGCACCTAATAGAAGAAAATATAGGCCCAAATCTTCACCACAAGGATCTGACTTCCTTAACAAGACTCCTAAAGAGCAAGAAGTAAAATCAAAAATCAATAAATGGGAGGCATTCAAATTCAAAAGCTTCTTCTCAGCAAAGGAAACAATCAAAAATGTGAGGAGAGAGTCTACAGATTGGGAGAAAATTTTTACCAGTTACACCTCCAATAAAGCATTAATCTCTAGGATACATGAAGAACTCAAAAAACCAAATAACCCAATCAATAAATGGGCTAAGGAACTGAACAGACACTTCACAGAAGAAGAAATAGTCAATCAACAAACATGAAAAATTGTTCATCATCTGTAGTAATTAGAGAAATGCAAATCAGAACTACACTAAGATTTCATCACTCTTGTTAGAATGGCAATCATTAAGATACAGGCAGCAATAAATGTTGGCAAGGATGTGGGGAAAATGTATACTTGTACATTGCTGGTGGAACTGCAAATTCGTGCAGCCACTATGGGAAGCGTACGGGGATTCCTCAGAAAACTGGGAATGGAACCACCATTTGACCCAGCTATCCCACTCCTTGGTTTATATCCAAAGGACTTACAATCATTATAGTACAGTAATGCAGTCACATCAATGTTTGTAGTAGCTGAATTAACAATAGCTAACCTTGGAACCAACCTGGGTGTTCTTCAATGAATGAACGGATAAAGAAAATGTGGTATATTTTCAATAGAATATTACTCACCTTTAAGGAAATTATGAAATTTAATGAAATTATGACATTGCTGGTATATAGATGGAGTTGGAGAGTATCATGCTAAGAGAAAGAAGCCAATCCCGAATAAGTAAAGGCCAAATGTTTTCTCTAATAGGCACATCCTAATTCACAATAAGGTTGGGACTACAAGAGAACACTGTGGTGTTGTGTTTTTAGAGTATCTTCGTTTGAGTGGGACGATTTGTTTTCTTACTTTTTCATATTGTGTGTCTACCCAGTGGATGTAGGGCAGTAGTTTCTACTCTATAGATTTATGGTGTCCCTGAAGGTTTCCTGTACTGTTTTGTAAGAGACAAATAGAACAACAACCATAACAAGCAATATATAGCGTTGAACTAAAAAGTTGCTACTACAATGCCTAAAATGTTAATTATCACAATAAACAGAAATGGTAATGATCAACTATTGCCTGTAATAAATACATCAAGTTTGCAAAAAGTTTTATAACTTCAAATGGTGGATGGGAGAAAACAGAACTGATGTAGGGTATGATGAGTATGAGGGAGGAGTAGAGAAGACAGAAGTAAAAGAATAAAGAAAGAGAAGAGAATAATAGAGATTAGCTTTTAATGGAAGAAAAAAAGAATCAAGGGAAATAGAGGAATATATCTGTGTGTGTGTGTGTATTTTTTTTTTCCTAACCTAACTTTTCTGACATTTCTTCCACTGTGGTGGGATGTATATAGATAGATATACATATAGATGTATCCCATAATTCTTTGAAGTTCTTGTTTTTAGTTTCTTATCATTGTCTGTGCTCTGTTTACAAGATTATATATTTGGCTTCTGTGCCTGACGTTCTGTGTTCCAAGTGTCTAGTCTGTTGGTGATGCCTTCTATTGAGTTTTTATTTTTATTTCCTTCATTTCTAGGATTTCTGCTTTTTTGTTGTTGTCTTCAGGGGAAAAAAAAATATATATGTACGTATATATGTATAAATATTTATGTATCTATAGATACATATATGTATATATATACATACATATATAGATATATAGATACACATACATATGTATATATAAAATAAAAATTTAAAAATATTTAAATAAAAATAAAAGAATACAAAACTAAACTAAAATTTCAAAAAAAATTATATATCTTAGTTTACAGAAATGTAAAATAACTGCTTTCAAAAATGGTAGAAATGAGAAAAAATTATGAAAATATATTAATATCCATGTACCATCAAGATCACAATGAAACAGAAAAATAATTAAAAAAAAGAAAAAAAATCCTGATAAAAGGTTAAAACAATCTTTCTGTTGGCAGTTCAGAATATTCTCACTTTCTCTTCTCAGTATTTTTAGGTGAGTTTGGAGCATGAATTTCCACTCTTTGGATTGCTGGAGTGAGAGGAGTAATCCCATAGGCAGAGTTCCTAGAGGCTGGGTTTAGGTTTTACTGGGCTCCAAGCCCTTCACTGAATGCCAGTTTTGTCTGGAGATTTTTAAATCAGTGCACCTCCAGTGCCTAGTACTTGCTGGTCCCTCTTGGAACTTTAGAGAATTATGGGATACATCTATGTGTATATATATGTTTATACATTCCACCACAGTGGAAGAAATGTCAGAAAAGTTAGATTACCCGAGGGATCCTTCCTGGGTTCCACTTTTGTGATGTGAGAACCAATTCTAAGTCCCCTCTGTAATCTGCAGACTCCACATTTCCTGGTCTCAGGTTTAGCCTTCTGCCATTGCCTTTCCAAGTTCCTGGCTAGATGCATGTTTCCCAGGAAAATCCTGCAAGCACTAAGATTGGAAGGGGAGAGGTAGAGCCAGGTGGGTTTCCATGACAGTGGTCCTCTGTGTAAATTTCTCTCTATGTTTGATTTTTTTCCTAATCATTAAGCACACTGTGTGATGTATTTACTGGCCCTGTATTTCAGGCCAAACTCAGGTTTGCCAGGAATTTGCTTCCTTAAAAAAGGCACAGCCCTCCCCTGTGCCTTGGCTGCAAAATAGTTCCTTCCTTCTCCCAGGGAAAGATGGTTGGTTCTTTCCCTGCACGTGGATAAAAAGTGCAACGAGGAATATCCTGCAGTGAGTGATATCGTGCAACAAGTCTTTAAGGTTTGTTGGGCAATGTCATTGTTCTCTAAATGCTCTGTAGCCAGACGTACTTCATGCCTCCCCCAAATTCATATTTCTTTAATTCCCTTATCTCTCTACTA